TGTTCAGCATCTTAGTTGTAGAGGGCAGTGTCACTGGCCCTCATATGTGGGATCTGAACCGGGGCCCTCTGGCATCCCAAGCCAGCTCTTAACCAGCGCGCCACTCGGCCGGCCCTGTTCTTCAGTCTCAGTTGTGGAGAGCGCAGCTAGCTCAGCTCCAAGTCCAGTCACCATCCGGCCGCCCGTTGGCAGCTCGCTGCCGCTCAGCTCAAGGTTCCATGTTTAGTCTTAGTTTCGGGTGGGCATAGCCCACCATCCCATGCGGGAGTCAATCCGGAAACCTTGTTGTTAGGAGCACGTACTCTGACCAGCTGAGCCATCCTGCCAACAGCTCAGCTCAGGCACAGCTCACTGGCCCATGTGGGAATCGAACTGGTGACCCTGTTGCTCAGAGCTCGCACTCTTAACCAGCTGAGCCACTTGGCTGGCCCACCTGTATTGTTACCACCAGTGATCAAATTTCACTAATAAGATATTCAAGAAATCAGGATTTTATTTACTTTAGAGTAATTTTACTTAAAATTCACAAGAAATTGAGCAGGAAGGAAGGCAGTATAAATAAGTATAAATGACACATTTTTAAGTACAGTTAAACCTTGCATTACAAGTGACTTGGTTTGCAAGTGTTCCGCAAGATGAGCAAACATTTCTAATACATTTTAACGTGGTACACGAGCGATGTCTTACAATACGAGTAGTTTGTTTCTGGAACAAATTATGCTCACAAACCAACGTAATACTGTAGTTCTTTAAAAACCTAAATGAAGCCTGTTTTTAGGACCAATTTAGTTAAAGGGCAGTTATTATAAGCAAACAAAGTACCTGGGGACGTTCAGCGTGATCTCCCCGACCACGTTGGATTTCCCTACTTCCACCACCACTAAACATTTGGTAGCTAAAGCTCAGTCCGTGCCTTCTTGTGTTTTTGCCCTACAGAGAACAGAAGTGCGATGCTGTTGGTAGATTCACCAAAGCCATGGATGACGGCGTGAAGGAGCTGCTGACGGTGGGGCAGGAGCACTGGAAGCGCTGCACAGGACGTGAGTGCGGCTCGCGGGAGGTCCCGGCCAGGCGGGGCTCGCAGGAGGCGGGGCAGGTTCTGTTTTACAGCCTTTGTCACACTGGGGAACTGTACTGCCTGAGAGAAAGGCATTTAGTGACCTGAAGTGATGACCCTTTCTTCTCAGCCCGAGTTAAATTAACAGACAGTTGGCTCGAACAAAGTCACTTCAAGAACTCTCATAGAAAACGTCATGTTCGCTTAAATATTTCCAGTTATTTGGAGTTTTGTAATCTATGGGAAAGTAATCTTTTCTGCTTGTTTAGAGGGCTTGTGGTTATTTTTAATCTCACAATTTTACTTTTTAATCTTTATCCATTGATAAGATGTTATATATTTGACTGAGGCCCTAATTTTTAGGAAAATCTGTGTAATTGGTAGTAGAAAACACAAGATGAGTCAGACTAGCAGCACTGTCAGTTATGGCTTCCTGCCTGCTGTTTCCATGTCCTCGACTTCCGGTCCCCATCCCTTCCCTTTGGAGACTGCCATTCTGCTGACCATGTTTCCTGTATTCCCCAGGACCATACAGTTCTGGTGTCACATAGGCCAGGATAGGGATGAGGCGTCCAGCGGCGGGACCTTCCCGCAGCATCTGCCCTGTTTCTCCCTGAGGCTCAGAAGGCTCCACAGCCTGACCACTGTGGCGTAGCGTTCACGCAGATCCCGGCCTTGGAGGACCGGGAGTTTCTCCCCGCTGTCCATCCATGCTGCCCTCACTGCCAGCACAGCCTTCTGGGTCCCAAGGAGAAAACAGCCCTCCTTGTGGCTGGCCTGTGTTAACCTCAGGAGGTAAAGGAACTGCTGGTGTGTCACTAGAGCCTGTAGGAATCCTGGCTGTCTGCAGTTATTTTTAAAAAATAAAAATGGCTTCTGCTTTGAATTATAAAAGTAATACATACCCACTTTTAAATTATATCAGTATTTTGATGCTCAGCATAGGAAGGAGGTTAAATTATCTGTTTTTGTAAAGATTTATTTAAAGGTGGTATTTTTCCTCCAAATAATGGAAGAGAATCAGAATTTGAAGTCAAAAAACAATTTTAATGAACAAGAAACAATGTGGAGTGACTTGTGGATGAATTATTAAAATAGTAGAGCAAAGTTAATAGGAATTCTGAAATCTAAGCCCAGGACTTGGGAATCACTGGCCTACAGGCCAAATCCGTCTTACCTGTTTTTGTAAATAAAGTGCTATAGGAACACAGCCATACCCATTATTTACATATTATCTGTGGCTACTTTCATGTTATTGTGGCAGAGTTGAATAGTTTCAACAGAAACCTGTGGCCCCACCAAGCCTAAAATATTTATTGTCTGACCCTTTGCAGAAAAAACAAGATCATGAATGCCTCACACTGTCCTCTATCATCCACATATTTTATATCAATGAAACCCTTGTAGTATATGGCTGTTCATGCCTGAGGGCAGACACCGGAAGAATAACAGCTGTTGCTTTTCCATAGCAAAGGAATATGATGCTGCATCCTTAAGACAGAGCTAAGCTTGAGGAAATAATGTACACAAGTACAGCACTAGAATTTGTTTCGATTTGCCTCAAGGAATAACTCGTGAGCAAAAGGGGAGTGACACTTCTAAAATAGAAATGAACTCATTTCATTTTTAAAACAATTAATTTTAGCTGTAAACTCTTATGAAGCCAGAATAACAAATCGATTAATTCTGTATGTTCTTGGAAAGCTATTTCCTATTTTTTAGAAATATTTTAAATGAATGAGTACAAATGTTGAACTTTTTTAAGGATATCACAAAAACCTGAGATTATGATTTTTTTTTAAAGAATTAAATCCCTATGTCTAACATCTCGTCAACTTCATGTCTTATGTAACCAACCCATAAAGCCAAATTTATGAAATAGAGAAATATCGGCTTAAGGCTGCTCTTTTTGCGGGGGGCGGGTTGAGGCACTTTGCTTAGGATTCGATTTGGGCATATCTTCTTATATCTTCACTCTCACAAAAGAGTTTTTAAGAATCCTCATCTGCAAACTGAGAAATCTAACACACTCCGTGTGGTGAAGCATATAGAACATGTCTGATACCGAGTATAGAGGCAAAAACTGAGTTACAAAATGGTAAACAATTTATTAAAATCAAACTAATAAAGTTTGAATTTGTGTTTCCTGATTACTGCAGTTTATGGACCATACTTCAGATTTCTCTGGCCTAGACATTTGAATTATTTTAATTTTTTAATACTACATTAATTTTTCACATGCAGATAATTTCTTTTGGAAGACAAAGATGTGTTTAAAGGGACTATATACAGATGCAAAGAAAACAGCCTAAGATGCAGAAACTTTTCTCTAGGAAGTTCTCCAAAATGATCCTACCATCCCAGAATTTCAGCACTAGAAGGAACCTTAGAGATCAGTTAATCTTCTTGTACAGATTCTAAAATCCCTCCTCCCTGGTCCTGTGAAGTTTCACTACCTTTTTTTTCCTCCACACTGTGTTGCTTTCAGCTTTGTTTTGTAAATAACCATTCATACATACATAACACAGTGGAAAAAGCAGCGGATTTGGAATCACAAGTGCCAGAGCCCCTATTCACTGGCATGTGAGTCTGGGCAAGCAAGTTTACTTACCTGGTCCTTATTTTCCTAACCCATGAATTGGAGATGGTGTATCTGCTTCTGGTAGGGGGGCCATTGTGATATTAAGCAGGGCGGTCTGTGTGGAAGCTCTCTGTAAACTAGAAATTGCCTTCTAAATGACCTTCCCATCCACTTTGATTTCATTCGGTGAGTGAGAATGTGGGCAATGGTGGCAGTTGTTAATAATAGCATCCACCATTAATTGAACCACCGGTTAATTACAAATTGAAAAAAATCATTAATTAAAAAAAATCATTTTATTAAAGGATATAGACTTTTGAATCACTTCAGATTTTTTTTATTATAAAAGTAATCTCTTAGAAAGTAGTTGAAACCCATTTCAGTTTTTACTCAGAGGACTAGTTGACAGTTTTTTATTTCTTCTCTTTTAGCATTACCCAAGGAATATCAGAAGATAGGAAAGGCCTTGCAGAGTTTAGCAGCTGTGTTCAGTTCTAGTGGTTATCAAGGTACGTCTTTCTTTCTTTCCTGAGCTTTTCCTGTCTTACTCAGACTGCCCCCTTCAGGCTCGTGTGGACAAACGAGCTCTGCAGCTATTGGCATTGACACTCAAAACCGGCTGGGCTGCTCCACTCAGGACTTGCAACCTCACCTTACTACTTTCGAGAAAAGTGAAGGGTTGTTGTTTGTGTTTTCTTGCTAGCTTCTTTGCCCTTTTTTGCATCGCTCTTGTGTCTTTATAAAACTGGTGGCTGTTATATGTAGCATTCTGCCTTTGCTTTTATGTCTTGGCCAAACTGAAGTCAAGTCTTCCCATTACAAAGCCAGATCTCATCAAGGCCATTTGGCGGGAAAAATTTTTACTAATAAACTCATGTTGCCATAAGTCTCCCCATAGCTTAACAGTTGTTTTCAGTTTATCCCACATTGTATATTTTACCTGAGGTATTTCAAGTTCATTGTGTATTTATATCGACAACACTTGAGAGAACAGGTTAGCTGTTTTCCTTTATATTTTGGATTATGTTTCCTTAATTTGGCCTATGGAGCAGGTAGGAAGTAAAAGTATTTGTCAGGTGAGTAGTACCTATTAAGTTTGAGTATATCCTGTCACAGAAATGATAGAATTTGTACTTTCACCAGGGTATTCGTCCTGATACCCAGGAAAAACAGATCTTCAGATGTCAGTTTTTGAGTATTTTCAGGAATAAGAAACTAGCCAAAATTTAGGACCTAGGGCTCCCACATATGAACTCAAGTCCCCAGCGACTACTTTCTCCCGTTTCAAGTGAAGGTCAGCAGCATTGAGAACTGTGTCTTACCACGTCTCCCTTGGTACAGATGTGCTGGTATGTTTGGGCAATGCTACACTCTGATCTTGCAATAATGCAAATGTTTTCCGTTCCTAAGGAAATCTCGGATTATATTAACTATAACTGTCCATGCTCCCTTTACTAGTCCATGTACTAACATTGGAACAGTAGAGACTATTAGCATGGCCCCTGCACAATTTCATGAAGCATTTCATATTCTTGTGGATTATCATGGAAATATAATAAGTTTTTAAAGGGTTACCTATGGGAGAAGAAGGGGACAGATGTGGGAGCTAGACTTCTGATCATATCTTTTTTTGTAGCTTTGACTTGGAACCATGTGAATGTTCTACATAATTATTAGAAAACAAATTTAAATTAAAATGTTAAAAAATATCATAAGAGGCAAAAGCAAAAAAAAACAAATTATTTGATACATAAAGATGAAGGTATAACCACATAAAGAAGAATTACTTCAAATCACCTAAAACATTATGTTTTGACTATATCCCTAGTAACAGGTGGCTTATGGTGTAAAAAATGGCAAAAAATTTTAATTGTTTTCAGTAATCACCTGGTTAGCAGTATAATATTGGTATTGTGATTCTAAAACTTCCAAAACTGTTTTATATGTTATAGGGTAAAGCAAATATGTAATTACGTTACTGTCATTAACACTAAGATTTTAAAATAAAAGAGATAAATGTAAAAATCAAAAGTATAAAAATATATATGGAAAGCCCTGTCATCCTAAATTTGAATTGGAAATAGCAATATGAGCTCATCATGTGTTTTCCTCTTTTAAAAATACTACAATTTGCTGTGCTCTGTTCACCGAAAAGGCCTAGAACCAATTTTTCAATCCGGTAGGAAGAAACACCCCCGCATCACACATGGAAACCTCTAAATCCCGTGTTCCAGCACAGTGAGCCGGGCTCCTCTTTAGCACAAGAACTCTGATGAGCCAGTTTGAAGAGCCTGTCACTGATGGCCAGTGAAGAAAAGATCTGAGCATTAGTGCAAATAATTCCTGTGGGATGAAGCCTATCAAAATGTTTAAATCCATGTTCAATGCAATGACACTTCAAAAAATGTTCATCTTATTTACCTTTGGGTGTGGTAAAGGATCAGCTCATTCTGAAAGCTGTAAAGAGGAAGAATCAAGCATTTAACGTGCTTTTCCTATTCCTATACCTCAAGGTAACCAAAAAGTTAATAAGGGAAAGTTTCTCTTGATAGAAGTGTTTCCGCTACTAAAGAAGGAGTGATAGAAGTGGAATAACACCATTTTGCAAAACCATACTAAAACAAAGATCTAACTGATCATCATCTGTGGCTTCTAACGTCACACAAAATACAATAGAAATAACCAGAAATTGTGTCATCTGAATCTGATCAAGCCTCTAGATCTAACAACTGGTGTAAAGAAAATACAGGGAACAGAGAACTATGTTATCACAACAGAGACAATCAGCAAAACCCAGACCGGGGGTACCAACGCAATGACCTGGTTTCTTCAACACACCCCAAAAAGAAATTTGCAAGAAAAAAAAGAAACAGAGAAGGAACCTGTAGGTTTAAACACATCAGCTTTATGCCGTGTGGACCTTTCTATGTCCTGATTCAAGCAGCTAGCGTGAGGCGCCAGGAAGCTGCACACTGCTCATTTATATCAGGGACAGTTGTCTTAATTGTGATACGGTATTATCCTTATTTTTTAAAGAGCCCGTCTAGGTAAAATTTATACATGAAATGTTATGTGGCCAGTGAGAGGGGAAGGTGGGAGTGGATAGTATAGGTGACAAAATACTGGCTATGAGATGTTAACTGGGAAGTTACATGATGGATAGATGGGGATACATTATACTGTTTCTCTAGTTTTGAAAAGTTTGAAATTCTCTATTATAAAATGTTTAAATAAAATGAATGAAAAGGCAATATAACTTATAACCACCGATATAACTGTAATTAATGGCTTTCAGGTGAAACCGATCTCAATGATGCAATAACAGAAGCAGGAAAGACTTATGAAGAAATTGCCGGTCTCGTGGCAGAACAGGTATTAATATAACCATACAATTCATATTAAGACTTCATGCCATCTAACCTACATTAATTTAAAACCTGCCTTAAGTCAGCCTTTCCAAATGGCTATATCCTCTTCTATTCCTGTGTATCTTTGTCAGGGGTCTTTGGTAATCGTGTTTCTTAGGTCAAGCTAAAGTGATGGATAAAATTGTTATCGAGAAATCTAAATGAGTGCCCTTCCAGTGTCCAGGGCTCGGATCCGTTCTTAGCCATCAGGGCTCAGAATGTACAGGAAGGAGCGCTGCTCAAGTCCCTGTTGGGACTCTCAGCCTCTCTGAACCCGGGTTTGCCCACCTGGTACATGGTGACAGTGGAGTTGACCCTGTAATGAGCTCAGGATCCAACAGCTAATGAAGAGAAAGCACCTGTTGCAGCCCCAGCACCAGGCAGGCCTTCGGCACAGCAGGTGGCATTTATTGGCATCTCTAGTAGCCCCATCGCAGTTCTTTTCATAGATAACAGAAATAAGTTCCTTTAAGGGGAATGATCATCTAAGTTGTTTCAGATCCCCAAATTAAAAAAAAAAATTTTTTTTAGATGACTTTGGAAAATATGTCGGTGCACGTGCCCAGTGCACACACACTCGTGTGGTCATTAACTACTCTCCTGGTACTTGTAAAAAAGATGTCTTTTTAGAACTGTGCTTAACATAGCTATTAAAAATGATAATTCAGAAACATGAAAAATGTTTAAGCTGCCACTTAAAATGATTACCAGATTTTTAATACTTTTATATCCTCTGCTAAAATTTAAACATTAAACTGTAAATCTTACTTGCTTGTATACAGTCTTAACTAGTATTTTTTTCTTCATAGTTTTGTATTTTGGGCCACCTTAAAATAGCTAAATTTACCAACCAACTTAAAAATTATCTAATGTTTTATCATTTTCTTTATAACCTGTGGCTGAGAATATAGTAGTCTTAGGGATTATTTTCTCATAGGAGAACTAAGCTGAATGCATAATTTGGCTAATATAGTCCTCAGGTGTAACAGTTTTCTTTGATTGATTGAATTCCTCAGCCAGTAACAACCCACCTGTGTCTTGTTCTAGCCAAAGAAAGACCTGCATTTCCTGATGGAATGTAATCATGAATATAAAGGTTTCCTTGGCTGCTTCCCAGATATTATTGGCGCTCACAAGGTAACTTGACTGTAGAAGTTTACAGAAGACGGCACGGGTGAATCAGGACCTACACGCACACCCACCTGCATGGGCCTCACCTTGCAGCACACCCTGGAGTCAGGAGACGCTTCTGGAACCCACTGGAAGTGCTTGGAGGGTTTAAATAGCAAGGTCCCATCACATGTTTGGGTATAAAGAGTAGATTTTAGTCTCTTTTATTTTATAAAAAGGCTGTTTTGAAGGAACTAAACATATGAAAAGTATTCCTTTATGCATGTAGTTAGGGCAGGTATCCAACAAAATAATCATGGTGTTTGAAATTCAAAGCAATGAAAGGAATAAACTTTCTTTTATCAGTGAAACTCCTGCGCTAGTTGGACAAGTCCTCAAGACCCTTCCCTGTCAAGATAAAATAAGATATTCTGTCCATCACCCTAATGATAGGTTTCTTAATTAAAATTAAAATGATCAGTGTTGATTTCATATTTATCTATATTAATAAATGGAAACTATACTTCTCATCAAAAAGACATTGTTTAAATAAAAATTGGCTTAGGGTGTCCTCACATTTTGATTCTTGTTAATTTTTTCTCTGTTTCAAATGCTGTGTATTACCTCAGAATTACAGGTATTTTATCAACCGTCATAGTCTAGGATATTGCAGTGTACTTGCATTTATTTGCAAACTCTGTACAGAGGACTGGTCTGTGATCCTAAATACCTGGCATGTGTCCACTTTAGCATTTGGCGTTGTCATTGAAGTATCACGAAGAGGTAGCACAGGTAAATAAAAGCCTCTGTGCAACTTCAGATAACTTAATATAAAACTCAGAACATTTTCTTTATCCATTCATCCATTGATGGACACTTAGGTTGTTTCCATACCTCGGCTGTTGTAAATAATGCCACATGACTATGGGAGTGCTCTGTCTCTTTAAGATAGCAATTTTATTTTCTTCAAATATATACCCAGAAGTGAAATTGCTGAGCGAGTAGATCTTCAAGATTCTCATCATAAGAAAAAGAAATTTGTAACTGAGGGTGATGGGTGTTAACTAGACTTATTAGTGGAGATCATTTCATAGTAGATACATATTTCAAATCATGTTGCACACCTTAAGTTAATACAGTGTTACCTGTCATTAGATCTCAGTAACACTGGAAAAAATAAAATTAAAATCTCAGTAAAAGAAAACCTCAGGACAGTTAGCTGGTTATAGGAATTTATTCACCGAGTTGTAGTTGTAGACATGGAGTCTCATTTATGTATGAAAGTAGCGGTTTTCTTTCCAGACAGCACTAAACAATGAGCAGTGTGATGATACTGGAGCGGGAAACACTTGGCCGCTTTTACAACTACATCATCTAAGTATTAATTTAAAAATTGAGTCGGTGCTTCTTACAGAAATCACAGTAAAGTTCTAGCCTTTCAATCTGCCCACCTACTAAGTGCCAGCCTGTAAAACCCTCCACTTTAGTACAGAAGAGACAGAGTGCTGTGTGTACCGTGTGCACGGGCCAGACCGGCCCTCACCCACTGCCTCAAAGCCCTCTAACGCCTGTTTTCCTTTTGTGAACTGCTCGTATCCTGGCAGTGGCTTATAAATATAGAAATAGAGTGCCCTGTGGCTTTCTATTCTGTTTTAGCATAAATAGTGTATTTTGGCTTAATTACGTTTGTTTGGGTTTTTTTTCAAGATCTTAACCTTTTTGCTTCCAAGTGCCTTAAAGGAAGTTACACTTAGATAGTTTTCCTGTGTTCTTATTTTGTGGTGTCATTTTCCTGTCTTACAGCAAGTCAATTATAAAAGATGTTGCATTATTACATTGTAAACTGATGACTAATCCTTTAGCTTTATTTTACTGATACCATTTCGTTTATATTTCACAGGGAGCAATAGAAAAAGTGAAAGAAAGTGATAAACTGGTTGCAACGAGTAAAATCACCCCACAGGACAAACAGAACATGGTGAAACGCGTCGGCACAATGTCTTACGCTTTACAAGGTAAGACAGAGGCTTATGTGTAGCTAGTAGGGATTGTTTTCCCCAGAGAAGTTGCTATTCTCCTTGCTGGAGAGAAATCCAAATGTGAACAACAGTGAGATAAATAAGAGCTGATTTAAAATGTCCTCATAAGCCTCTTGTTTGCAGGATCCCAGTGTTAATGAAAATCTGTAATATTTATTTACTCATTCACACATTTACCTGACATAACTATGAATGACAGCTTGATTAAACTTGTACATTTTTATTATTTCTTAGAGACAGTGAAGATTCCTTTCAAGCTTTTCATATCAGCACCTATCATAATGTTCTAGGTTCCCAAATTTAGGTTTTAGCAATCTGTAACCTCCATGCCCCAGGACCATGGAATACAAAGGGCGTTTGGAGGTAGCATTTAGGTATAGTTTAACTGTTAGTGAAAAAGAAGATATTGGAGCCAGCCGAGTGGCTCAGTTGGTTAAGAGCGTGAGCTCTGAGCAACAGGGTTGCCGGTTCAATTCCCACATGGGCCAGTGAGCTGCGCCCGAGCTGAGCTGTCACTGAGCTGCCAACAGGTGGCAGGTTGGCTCAGCTGGTGCTCCTAACAACAAGGTTGCCGGTTCAACTCCCAAATGGAATGGGGGGCTACGCCCACTCGCCACTAAGATTGAACACGGCACCTTGCGCTGAGCGGCACGAGCTGCCGATGGGCAGCCAGATGGTGACTGGACTTGGAGCTGAGCTAGCTGCACCCTCCACAACTAAGATTGAAGGACAACAACTTGGCTGTTCCCTTTACCCAATTCCCCAATAAAATCTTTAAAAAAAAAAAAAGATGAATTTTTACATATTTGAGTGTTTTCCAGCATATAGGAGCAGTGAACGGATTTTTCCTGTTTTGGTGGATAGTTAGAATATTCATGGGCAAAGGAGAAAAGGCTAGGATGTTCTAGTACAAACTAAAGTACACAAAATAATGGTACAGGGTTATGTCATTGGCCTTTGGGAATAAAACGTACTTACAGGTTATTAGGGAATAAATGCTGGTGATTGTGGAGGGCCTTGAAAGCCAGGCAGAAGAGTGTAGACTTGATGTGGGCATTAAGAAGCCATTAAAAGGCTTTAATGAGAAAAAAAGGTCAAAGGTTTGCTAGTTACATGGACAGATTGGAGGGGCAGATGTCAGTCAGACAGCCCAGCCAAAAGAGCACAGCTCCTGTAGTCTGAGATTCTGAGGACCTGAGGAAGGTGTGGTGCTGGGGGAAGAGAACGGTGCATGTGTGCAGGCTTTTCCAGGAAGGACCTTCAGGACTAGGGAATTAATGGGAAAAAGAGGAGAACGTGCGAAAAGATTTTCAGAACTAAGGCAACTAGGACAGAAACAGGGAGACCTGATTGCAGATATGGGTTTTGAAGAGTTTGAAATAGGGGATTTGATACTGAGCTTGTGTTTGAGGTTATCCAAATAGGTATATGAGAAGCTTTGTACAACTTCAGATAATGTAATATAGAAGTTACCTTTTGGTAGGAATTGATGCCAGCATTTAGCTTTCTAGGCCCAGAGTATGAGGGAAAGGCAGATGAGAGGTGATAAAGAAAAGGAGGTGAGAAGGACGGCCTCTCTGGGTTGAGAACCAGTGAGGGTGGTCCTGACAGACACATATCGATAAGGGATTCATTTGCTGAATTGATACATCCAGCAAAGATGAAGAACAGGCATCTGATCCTCTGGCCTAGTCCAATGGCCCTGGTGCCATTACTGAAGCGGGCGTTCCACTGCGTCTGCCCTTCTGCCCAGCCTTTCAAAGCCACCTCGAGAAGCCTCCTGAGACAATCGCTGTGCAAGAAGGAACATGGCCGGGCCCACCAGGTGCCTCGCTAGGTCCACCGTAAACAGACTTGAACTAGAGTCTTCTGTAGAGAATACGACCAACTCACTTTTCTGCTCAGTTTGTCAGAACAGGTGTCCACATTTGGATGATATTCTGTATTGGGTTTCATAATATTTAATATGCAAATCAACAGAAATCATCTACTGGAAAGTGTCGTTTGCCGTGAACTGTTCAGGTTATTTTTTTAGCCTCTTTATCAAGTGATTTGTCAAGAGCTGGCCCTGCTCTGACCAGTCAGACTAAGTCCGGTTGACGATCAGCCGGCGAGGAATCGTAACAAGCCCAGAAAGCAAGCGCTATCGTGTGGAGTCTGGTGGGGAGTGACTGACGTCTTGGTTTTGGTTGTAGCTGAGATGAATCACTTTCACAGTAACCGGATGTATGACTACAACAGTGCCATCCGCCTGTACCTGGAGCAGCAGGTGCAGTTCTATGAAACGGTAAGTCGGCCTTTCTCCCCGGGAGGGGTGCACATGCAGGTGAGGACAGGCTCACTTACGTGGACCATGGAGAGTTAGTCTGTTTCCATTTCTTAATCCTGAGTATTAAACCAAAAGAGGCTAAATACTGAGCAGGGCTTAGTTTAATCTTTTAATTACATCTGTCTTTTCCTTTTTGAATGACACTGGATTAAAAAAGGCTTTCTTTTGAAGAAGAAGGGGTACCGGATGTTAGTTGGGAGGCCCCGAGAAGTCCTTATTGTGTGGTTCCTTCTCCTCCCCCACAGCCTCTCTGTGCTCAGGGAACACTGCTGAATGAGATGAGGTCACCCTGCCACCCCTGCAGGCTCAGCTGGGGAAGGAGACTGGCACCGCACAGGACACCACAGGCAGCCTTTGTTTGTGAATAAGGTTTCACAGTGTACCAGAGGAATTGCAGAAAGAAAATGAAAGCGTGAAACCTTAAATATTTTCATTCAGAAAACAGTAGTGAAAACGTAAACTTTTGTACCTCTGAACAGTCATTTCATTGTGTACCAGAGTGTACAGGAAACGGACCTGGCACAGGGCTCTGAAGACAGGTTCTGTCCCTTTAGAATGGACCGTGTGTTGGCTGCCATGTTTCTTACTAAGCTCTCCACTGTTCCCTCGGCATTGTCTCACGTATGTTCAAGGTAATACAGGCAAGCCCCAGACTCACATCCATGCATGTGTCATCTTAGGACTAGACACTGCTGGGGATGCCTGCCTCCGACAGCAAATTCTGGAAAGCTTGCTGTGACTGGCATGCTTAATGCATATTGCCAGTGGTGTGTTGGACGCAGTTGGTTTTGGAGACCAGTCTACAGAAGGAACCCTGGGAAGCAGCATTGCCCCTCACAGGGCGGCCCCTGTGCTGCCCGCTGCCCGCCTGATTCACTGGTGCTGTGGGGTGGTTCCTCTCGCCTGTGTTGGAACAGCAGGTTACACGTGTTCTGTGGGCGAAAGTGACTGGAGGACAAATCCCGAAATTCTGATAATGTTGATTTGTTAAATAATTCTTAAGCCCAAGTGAGATTTAATTATTAATGACATTGTAATTCACAGTAGGACACTATTTAATCGCTGTCTTTGTTAGACCTAACATACGTTTTATGAGAAAGTAACCCTTAAATTATTAAAATTTGCGTGTTTGTTCGTGGAGCAAACAGTTACTGTATCCTAAGCACTGACTCCAAATGCCTAGGATCCAAGGATGACTAAGGCACCTGTGTCCTCAGGGAACCTGTGGTCTCCTTAGGGAGACATAGGCACGTCATCATAACTGCAGTGGGGGCTGACGCTATAGTATAGTATAAGGAACGTATGCGCTCCCTGCCGGTTTGTAGTGGCGTGACTGGGGAGGGTCTCAGGA